CATGCAAAATTTCATGCTTCTAGATCCAGCGGTTTTAATTGTGCATTGATCTATCAGTCAGTGAATCAGTCTGTCAGTTCCTTTTATAGATATAACCTATATATCTTTTAACATATAACTATGTATATCTTTTAACCTGTACCATACAGTACTTGCTGCTCCAGTTTCCCAGATGTTTTCGCTCAAATGAAAGTGATCGCCGTACGGCACCCAGATGCGGTCCGCTGCTCGCGATTGATAACGCTTCTTGCAATATACACCACTTTTTGCAGTCCACCTGTCTCATTCTATTGAGTGGCGGAATGTTCAGTACGCGTTTTCTATTTGACGCGATTGGTGCGGTATTGTGGATATACTCGTATTAACTCAGAAAATAATCTTTTCTTTTTATCCAAGAGTAAGGTTAATCACTTTGAGTCGGAGACCGCGACTGTTTAAAACTCGTGTCAAATGTTTAATTCCCGAATTGCAAGGGGCACCGGTTTTTTTTAAAGCACAGGGTGCACACTAGCATTCCTAATCGCCTGTCAGATACCTTATTATTATTTCACTGGGATTTACCCAGTGAAATAATCTGTCTTATTAAAAATATATCTTTTTTTTGTTATAAATTTTAACTTGCACCGAAAACAATTTTAGAACAAAAAATCTACAATTTAAGGAAAAACCTTACTATCCTATAGCCTGGTGTTCGATATAGACATTGTTAAAGATGATTTTTATAAATTTAAATGCTACATCAAATAACTAATAACTACCTAAAATAGGGTAAAAAACATACTGTTTGGACTTGACAGTCATCTACTTACAAGGGATTCTTTTTCCTTTGAAGGAACCCTAACAATGTCTTTTGAAAGATGATTATGACATAACATGTAGGCATATTATAATCAAAGTTGCGAATAAGCATTTACTTTCATAAATTTTATTATTCACGCAAAACATAACTTTCTTTTCTCTGTGTTTATATCAAATAATATATGTGTATGTATGTAATTATAAACGTAACATGGAAAAAATATTAGCTTCCAGACTTAAACGGTTACGTAACTTGGTTATAATAATAATAAAAAATAATAATTAAATAAATAAATAATTTGACGACCGAATGGCGTAGTGGTTTGTGTAACGGACTGCTATTCCAAAGGTCGCGGGTTCGATTCCCGCTCAAGTCAAATATTTGTGTGCATGAACATTTAATGTTTGATTTGGTCTGGGTGTTTCTATGTAAAATAAGTATGTATTTACAAAAAAAAAGTATTATATCAGTTGTCTAGTACCCATAGTACAAGCTCTGCTTAGTTTGGGACTAGATGGCGTTGTGTGAATGTGGTAAAATATTATTATATTATTATTATTATAATATTTTCGGACATCTGACACAAACGACATCTAGTTTCAAACTAGAACCATGAAAGCTAGATTGACTGATAGAATACTTATATAGTTTTTTTTGTAAATGTATACATATTATACATAGAAAACAGCCAAACTCCGAACTAAATATTTGCCGATCATACAAACATTTGTTCCGACCAGGGAATCGAACCCGAGACCTCAGCACAGCTGTCGCATACGCTACCACTGCACGACCGAGGCAGTCGGTACCTAAGTTGGTACCTAAATATTACATAGAATATATTTATTTTTACATTAAATAATAGAATAGGTGTTTGTTTTCCAACTTAGCTCATGAAAAGTAAAAATATACCCTAAAGAGGAAGGCAAAAGCGTTTTAAAAGGCCACATTGTTAACCGACTTTAAAACATATTTGCAAAAGTTTTTCTTTCGGATGTATTTTTTTTTCTAACATTTTTTACCTCAGAACTGCATCTTTTATAATCTGATTATGATTTTATAATTGGTTCATCAACAGCCACTGCTTGCCATAAGAATCATCATCCAGGATTGGCACGGCATCCGTCGACCTATCGTTGTCATTTTTGTAAATCTTTTTAAAACGTGTATACAATTCCATGGTTATTATTTTGATGTATCTCGCAAGGTTTAACCAGCGTTTGTAATGTAAGCGCACAAAAATATATTTTTACGACGGCATATTACAAATCTTATTCTCTATAAATCTAATATACTACAATATGCATGTACCTAGTATACATATAAACCTTCCTCTTGAATAAATCTTTGCATTGATAAAAACCGCATTAAAATCCGTTGCGTAATTAGAAAGATCCAAGCGTACATCAATGGGAGGAAGCCACTTCAATTTAGAGGTCTCTACTTATACTGCAATATTACGACAATTTTTACTTTGTTACTCATCATAACTTCAAAACGTTTTGAATAGTTCAAAATGTAATGAGCACCTTAATATAAGACCTCAATTACTAATTGGTTTATTTAGATAAAGATTAATATCATGATACTGACAGAATCACTTTTTGTTTTGATCCATATTTTAGTTGCCTAATTTAAACAATAACTGGTTACCTAAACTATAATTTCTATACTTACCTCCTCGCGGACTTTTTTGTGCGCTTTGATGAGCCCTTTTAAAATGTATATCGCTCTTTTTTCTTGTATTTTTCAATAGTTTTTGCAGCGCACGCAGAGAAGTTAAATACTTTTAGCAACTTTTATACCGGGCGAGTTTTATAATCATCGTGATTTTAAAAGAAATTAATGATGTCTTCAAAAAAACCTTAGTTACTAGCTGATAATGTAGCTTCCTATAGGTGAAATATTTTTTTAAATGGTTCCAGTAGTTTCGGAGCCTCTCGATTACAAACAAACAAACAAAAAATCAAATCTTTTCTCTTTATAATACTAGTATAGATTTGAAAAATCATTTTTTTATAGTTCGGCGGGTCACTTACAACTTTAATTTGAAAAAAAAAACTGAGGGTGGAACATTAAAAAACAAATGCATTGAAGTCCGTGTAAATTTATAAAAGTTAATTTTGTCTATTAAAATTTGGTCCCAGTTACGTAATAGGGACAAGTTTTTAGACGTCAACCGGGCACTTTGGAAACTATAGATGGATAAGTCTATGTACATTGAAAGGAAAACTTAGGTATCTAACTAAATATTGTACTGATATGGATAGATTGGGGAGAAACTCAAACAGACTGTCACCGGGAAATCCGAGTCCTCCAACAAATTGACTATAAATACATACATAACAGAGACAGATAAAAATAACAGCCATTGTGGGCATAGACAATAGCTGAGGTAAGCAGAGACAAAAGCTCTCTATATCTGGTTAGTCTTTATTCTTTTACTTTAGTGTCATTGTTCGCACAAAAATCTTAATTAACTTAATTAATCTCTTAGTATAAACAGGAAATATTTAAGTAAATACGTGTTTTTATGCCTCCTGTTTGATTTAAATAATATTGTATTTCAGGATAATTACCAAATATGACTTTATGTTTCTATTAAATAAGGATTTAGAAATATTAAGAATGAAAAAGAACGAATATTCATCCACTTTCCTATTATTTGCTTTTTTGAAAATATTTTTAACCATAGTAGGTCTATTTTTGCTCATCAAATATGTACAACGGTGTTACATTTTTATTTATATATGTCCTCTTTGGTCTACCTGCATGTAAATGTATAACTAGCCGTTCCCCAGCAGTTTCATTGACACCTGTAATTTTTGTCAAATACCCTATCTAATAAAATGCCCATTAAATTTATAACTATAGCTCCAGATATCATACTATAGATAGCACACAAACAAACAGAAAACTCTGCAGTTTTACTACATTCAGTCCATTCTAGTCCAGTTTAACCCAAAAAAGACACAGATATGTGCGTTCACCGCAAAAAAGATACCATTTGTCGTATCACCTCAGTTTGAGAGCACCTCCCTAACTGCCTCAATCAGCATCGGAATCCTAGGCATCGACATATCGAGCGAAGTCCAGTTTCAGGGTCACTTAGAGGGTAAGGTCAAATTGGCCTCGAAGAAGCTCGGTGTCCTGAACAGATGGAGGCAGTATTTCACTCCGGCCCACCGCCTTCAGCTCTATAAGGCGCTAGTCCGGCCGCATATGGAATACTGTTCTCATTTCTATGCAGGGGCACCTCAGTACCAGCTTCTCCCTCTGGATCGCATCCAACGAAGAGCGATTCGAACCGTCGATAGCTCATACATCTCCGATCGGATCGATCCCTTGGCGTCACGTAAAGATGTGGCTTCACTCTGCATTCTCTATCGCATATATCATAGAAAGTGCTCCGAGGCAAATTTCCGCCATCGTTCCACACGGCAAAATTTTCATCCTCATTACCTGGATAGTTGGCGCTCCACTATTGTGAGCTTTTCGAAACAATTTTTGCCCCGCACAACCAATCTGTGGAACGGGTTATCGTCTGCGGTATTTCCGGACCGATACGAACTTCAAACCTTCAAGAAAAGAGCGTACTCCTTCTTAAAAGGCCGGCAACGCGTTTGTGACTCCTGAGTTGCAGACGTCTGCTCGATCTAACATAAAAAATAATAATAATATAGATTTGTAGGTGTATAAAAAAAGCGTATGTAACTTAGTATTTTTTAGTCGTATTCTAGTAGAATTATAATCCATAGTAAAGGCTGACTTACCGATCCTGGTGTACAAGCATAACATAGGATTGTGAGTGAGATTGATAAAAAAAAACTGGCAAGATATCAACATAATTTCTTGACTCACAAGATGAAAATGGCAAGGTACGAGTGATGTCTATTTAAAAACGTATACTGAAGAAGCAATGACGCCATTTTCATCATGACGTATTAACAAGAGACTGTGATGTCACGGCAATGGTCACGAGCCTTAACTTTTTACTTATAGGACAAGGTTTTTATTTAATCCAAGGGTGGCAATACCTCTGTTTATTTAAATAAAAAGTTTTCAAATGTATGAGGACTTTCAATCGCTGGCCATTAACCAAAAGCTGGATTAAAAAAACAAACATTTCTGTCATCTGTGACAAGGTCAGATCAAAATCCCGTATTCAGTAATGTGAAGAAACCCCAATTTTGGGATAGCTATGGAAAATGAAGAAATTAACCACCTTGAAGGCGTATACAAGTCACTCCAGGATAATATAAACAAATTGTCAGAAAACCAAAATAATATTATAACAAAATTCGACGTCTTAACTAAGCATGTGGACGAATTCAAAAAAACTCTGACGCAGTTCTCAGATAAGATTGCTGTTTTGGAAGAAGTAACAACAGACAGGAAAAAAATTAAATCTGAAATGAAGATCATGAAGAATAGGATAGATGAATTGTATGCAATAGTTAAAGAAGGAAAGGAAGATGATTCAATACCCAGTGATCACGAGGATGTTCAAGACATTGAGTCCTGTCACTCGGGATTTTCTTGCTCTTCGAAGGTACACTTTATTTCCATGTTGGTGTTGATAAATATGGCAAAGAGAATACAGTAAGTCGATTATATAAAAGGCGTTGACTTTACGAAAAGGTTACAAGATTTCAGGGCTGTTTGTTTCTGAAATGATTTCTTTGTCGCTTATCAAACAAAAACACGTGGTTTTTTACTGGCACGTGTTCTTAGAGCGTCTCGATATTACAAATTGTGTATTTGATAATATATGGTAGTATTTTCTTCAAACAATACTATTCGTTGTTAGGGAAACAATATTTAATATGACTTTAAAGTACTTATTAGAAACATTGAAGATATTTCTGTTTTTTTTCACGCAAATATCGATAGTATAGCAATAGCAAATATAAAAAAAATGTAAGAGTTTTTAGAAGTAAATGGGTTAACGTATATGGCAACATATTTTATAGTTTTTTATTTAAAGTTTACAGAAGTGTGACCTATAGAAATAGTGTCACATGAATATTTTGGCGCGTCGCTTATGGAGTGTAGAAACAAGGTGAACCATCTCATATGGGGGAAAAGTTCAAAAGTGTCCAGCTGTCCAGTGGTCGCTGGCTTATAAAAAACTACGATATGAACATAGCTGCTGTAGACGGCGTGAAGTGTGCCGAGTTCATGACTAGAGTAATTAGTAAAATGCCAGTATACAAAACCTCAACTATTTGCGTGATTATATTAGTCAGTCTTATTGTTTTTTTATTACTCTTTGCGCTTTCTTTAAAATTTGTCGAAGACTACCACAGCGCCACCCTTATTGGACGCGTTTTTACGGACACTTCATACACAGAGATGGTTCTCCTTGCCTCTTCACCTCCATAGCGTAGCTAAAGTTAAAACCATAAAGTATGGTTTTGTAAATTTAATAATTATACTATGGTTACATTGTGTAATGTCATTTTTCAACGAGTTCGACTCGTACTTGACCGGTTTTTTTTGCAAGATTTTTATTGTCACATTACGTAGGTATATCCGAAATTTCACGCAAATATGTATCGTGCTGTCCAAAGATTCCAATCAATGCACAAATTAAATGTAAAGTAAATAGAAAATAGTATGACTACTATACTACAGTATTATATGACTTGTGCATGACATATTATCAACATTAAACAAGATTGTTCACGTACAGTGTGTTCCTGAACGTGACGTTGCATAATCTTCCCGCCAAGAATAAAAACAACAGGCTTGTTTACATTTTATACAGCCTAGTCCATCAAAAAGTTTGATTTCGACGGAAAAAAATAAAAGCTTCCATAAATCACTGCTTCTAAAAAACTTTTGAAGTTCCGGAAGATTTATATTCAAATAAATGTCTTCAATTTTTTAAATCTCAATCTTCCATTCCAATTAAGATTTAATTAAACACGGAGTTATTTTTTAAATAATAAATGAGTTTGATTGAACCATTTACAGTTATATTCGCTTGTTACAATTTTTGGTTTGTCTGCTCTGGATGACTTCTAGTTAGTACTGTAATCGAATTAACTTATGTTTATTATCTAATACAAAAACGACAATGAAACGTACCGTTTATACACCTAGTCACTTTCCCTTCCTCTGAGCCTGGGGCCCAAATGCGAGTTTATTCCACATATACTCGATCGTCAACCGTTTAGTGTGGAATCAGTGGAATGATTTTTTCGCCTTTTATCATTTAACTGTTAGAAATAAAAGCCGTATGTATATACTCGTAGAAGGGTTATTCCTTTTTTTACATAGTTCACTGTAAATCATCATCATCAGCCTATCGCAGACCACTGCTGGACATAGGCTTCTCCCATTGCATGCCACTTAGATCGATTTTGGGCTTTTCGCATCCAGCTCCTGCCACCCATCTTGCACAAATCGTCACTCCACCTGGCCTGTGGGCGTCCTACACTACGTTTGCCGAGACGCGGTCTTCACTCAAGAATACGTTTTCCCCAATGGTTGTCGGTTCTGCGGTTGATATGGCCAGCCCAATGCCACTTCAGCTTGCTGATCCGGTAGGCTATATCAGTGACCTTGGTTCTCTGCCGGATCACCTCATTCCTGATGCGATCCCTTAGAGAAACGCCGAGCATAGCCCTTTCCATAGCACGTTGAGCGACTTTGAACTTGTGGATCAGAAGTACCGTAAGTGTCCACGTTTCGGCTCCGTATGTCATGACGGGTAGGACGCACTCATTGAAGACTTTCGTTTTAAGGCACTGTGGGATCGACGATTAGATGACTCGACGTATAGATAGTTCAACTCAGTTGTGCGCGCGGCCCTATGTGTGCGTGGGCTTGTAAATATACAACTTTCATTCGTGTGGTATTCGTCTTGCTCGGACGACGGCTGCCGCGTCACCGCGCACAACTGAGTTGAACTATCTATACCACTGTACAATGTACAGTGGTATAGAACACTGTACAATGTATAGTGGTAAAAAAATTTCGGGACACCCTAATGTACAGTGTACAATCTGTACATACTGGCACATAATAATATGTGAATGACAGTGAATGTTAAACTACCTACAAGATCGAAATCAAATCTAAATTTTACTAATCTACTTAATTATATTTATTAACAAACATCCATATATTTTAACACTATGAAATACCTATAATATCGTATTTATTAACTTTTGAAGTTAATAAATACGATATTATAGGTATTTCATACCAATATTTGTTTTATTCGCTACTACCTACCCTGTTACAAATTCAAAAAAATTTTTTCACGCTAGAAACAATAGTGTTCCGAGATAAAACTTTTTCAGTGAACACATTCGTAATTCAAATTGCAGATTTCAATGTTTCTGTGCCAAATTCCCTCCGTTGCGAATACTTAAAACTTGAGATTTTTTTGTAACGGTTATGGTTGACTGTTTTTTTTAAATGTCTAAAGACGAAATATCCGCTGCTGAATGTTTCAAAGTGATTGCACAGACGACGCGCGATGGTCCGCTTCTCTTAGCTTAAATAGAAACGAGGGAAGTTTTAAACTAAAAACTAGGGAACATTCTACAAGAGCTGTGTTAAAAGCATTTTAATTTCAAGAAAAAGAGAAACTGTGTTTTTTTATTTTGGTTTACTCGTATTGATACTATGTACAGTGTATCTAAATTCTAAATTAAAATACTAAAACTGAATAGTTTTTGTTTGTTAAGCTTGTTTGTTAAATTTATTTTTAAACCCTTCAATCAGATTTAAGTGATTATTTTTCTTTTTTTTTCTTGAAGTGAAAACTTCTTTTGACGCGTTGGGCATTTTTGAACAACAAACAAACTAATGTATTTTTTGAGATGAAAAAAAACCATTGAACTCGCGACACTGTTACCGTTACCGACACCTCTGTATATAAGTATCTACATAAATTGACCCAGTTGAGTTTTGGGTTGAAATAAATTTATAATATAACTAAATATTGTGTATATATGATATTTCGAATCGAAAAAATCAAAAATTAGTTTTTGCTTCTGTTGGCACTCCCGGAGTGCCACGGTTTTTTTATGGTTTAGGGGGCACAATGAGCAGACAGGTACAGACACACCATGGTAAGTGACTACCGCCGCCCATTTGCCCTAGAGTCTCTTCCCTTCAGAATCATTTGTGCTTCGGTAACGTCACTCCTCGGTGAAAAAATACTGTACTTTTTAGTATTTTTTTTCGGTGAGATAGAGCCGTTACAGGCATTAAGACGTAATCAATTTCCTATTAAATTGATACTTTCAAATTACAAAATGGTTATCTAAGAGATTGGCAAATTAGATTGGTAACTGACTTTATTTTTTGAGTTGTTCCAGCGGTCTGAGATGATTAATAAAATAAATAAATTAATTAATTACAAAGATAATATTCTGTGATATCACTACCTCTCGTGATATAATTTAAAGACTTTTATCATATATTTAAAAATTATCCTTTAATTTCTCCTGAAATGACATCCGCTGCTACATCGATAATTTTGTAGTCGATTAAACACTCATTGTCATTAATTTAGTAAAGTTCAGATATCACGTAACCATATGCACACGGCCGATCACGTAATCACGTAATCCTAGAATGCGAGGGTGTGGCCACACAACGGGCAAGTATCATTCCCGATACAAAATCGCTCCTAGAAGCCTGTGAACGCCCCAGGATACTTCTGCGCTTCTGGAAGGAGCTTGGCTGGCTCACCTAGCTAACCAGTCCTCGACGCATAAAGGACCACTCTTGAGTCTAAATGCGGTAATCGAAGCCCACAACCAATACCAATAACCATTTGCACTTTATCGTGAGTTTTCCACATTGGTGTTTTTTAATTTTCCAATAAAACGCTTTTTATAAAGCTGGCTTCAAGTCTAAATTCTTCCCGCCTTTAATTCTAAATGTAACCCGACATTTAAAATTCGTAACGACTTGTCCATTACCGGACTTTGTAAAGTGCGGTCTACCTGTTTAAACGTACGTCTAAGTCGTGGCGGCTTTCAAGTTCTTTTTTAAAACTAAATATTCAAATTCTTTCATAGAAGAGTCCTTCGATCAAAAGAGCCTCTCCTAAAGGGCGTCTTTAGGATTGAAACCGCGAAACATATGCCATAAAGTAATTTATATTTAGAAAATATCTGTTTAAAGTTATAGATACGGAATTTATGATTATAATTTTATACTCATTTAAGCGTTATGAGGTTTACGACTTTGTTGAAATAGATAATTTATCGCTTAATATTAAATTATTGTCTGATAAATTATTGTCTGATGTTTTTTTTATATTTTCTACATTGGGCCTTAATAGTTTTAGAAGAGTAGTGAATTTCCCCAGATAAATTTTTGACCTCGAAGGGCCATAATATATATTAAAATAGAGAACATTAATGGCTTTTTTAATTTTAGTGTTGGGCTAGTTCTATTCGTGAAGCCATCTGTATCATATAATTAATTAATGTTGTCTCTATCATATAATTAATGTTGTATATCTTTGTCTCCAGGTAACGATGACAACCGGACTTGACAGGGACACGATACGTGCCGCTTATGAAGACGTACGGTCCGATAATTCCCCCACAGAATGGTAAGTAACCAAATACGACAGAATACTTAAACGCCACAATTTTTTTTAGTTTAAAAATTACAGCTCCTACATTAGGAATATATCTTGGGTCGCGGGGGACTTTACAAGCATATAACGAAAACAATTAACACCCAGACTCAGAACAACAATTTGTGTATCACACGAAGTGTCGTCCATGTGGAGATCGAGCCCACGACTCTCAACGCGATAGGAAGCGGCGAGGTGACCGACATCCGTGCAGTCAAATAAAATGTCACTCCACTAGTCTTTCTCAACTTAGGTTTAGTCTTGACTTTATTGACAATCTGTAGCAGTGTAATTTCAACAGATATGCACTGGCTTTACAGAAAACCAGTGTTTAACTATTTTTTCGATGCTTTGAGTAAGTGAGGTCATCAGAACCTAACACCCCCCCTGTTTTGGCGGGATGGAACAGTCATAGTGCGGCAATGGACCTGAGTTTCTTGAGTTTCAAATGTCCATGGGCGGCCATACTATACCATACTATGCCATAACATCACATCACCACATTAACAGCCGTTAATAATCCACTGCTGGATATAGACCTCTTCTTAGAAAGGAGGTTTTGGCGTTTACTACGCTGGCCAGACGGGTTGGTATAGGGTTTGTGTCAAGTTTTCTATCACTTTGCAGTGCTGTTTTCATACGTAGTTTGCTCCCTTAGTGAGCTCCTACGACACCCACGGGTTGAATAGGGGTGGGTGACATTCCCTATCCCCGTCACCACACGTCCCCCGTCACCACACGGACAAAATATGTCATAATATCGCTTAATGTCAAAATATACCTTAGGTACGCCATAACGAAATAAAAAATATCGGCAGGCATTTCCCGTACTAATATTTGACGTCTAATACTACGTTAAAATAACATGAAGCAAATAACAGTACAGGTAAATTAGCTTGGAGAAATTGTTGCGTTTGTAGTAGTGTATGGTACGGACAGCGTAAACTGGTTTATTCTGGTTTTGTGCGTGTTTCCACTTTCCACTATCAAGTGACGATTTTTTGCTTTAGATTGAAATATCTCGGCAACGGTGCGTCCTAGGCCAAAAATAACAAAAATTTTGACCCCCCGTAGACCTCCCGGAGTTTTAAAAACCTAGAAAAGAAAAAAAAAAATTTAAATATCGTGTGTAAATCGCACACACACCTTTTTTTTTATAAAGTCAAAACTTTTTCTTTAAAATAAAAACTTGTTTTTATTGAAAACAAAAATCAGAGTGTTGCTAGGGATAAGTATAAAATTAAATAGTAATGTTAGGATATCGAAACATTTTTGTATAGGCCAGAACGATATAGTGGAAACGCGCTCTAAGATCTGAGTAATATACACACCACTACATATGCAAAAATTTCTCGAGACTAATTTCACTGTATTTTTTGTACCTCCTACCTTATTTGCAATTTTTATTTTGGGTCGGTGCAATGTGTTAAATGCAACAGGTTGTTGTAATTGGCTGCTTTATTCTATGAATGGCCGCTTGCCTGTCACCATGCTCCTTGGTGATGTAATTGGTAGAATTGATTTTGGGCGAACCGTGTTCGACAAATATGAGGCGGCTGGACCAGAGCAGAAGATAGGGCCAGTACTTGGATAAGGGTGATATACAGGGTCCGTGTGGTGACGGATTAAGAATACAGAGTGTCACCACCCCTATTCATCCCGTGGGTGTCGTAAGAGCCGACTAAGGGAGTAAACTACGCAGGACAACAGCACTGCAGAGAGAAGGAAAACTTGAAACAAACCCTATACCAACCCGTCTGGCCAGCGTGGTTTAGTAGGCCAAAACCTCCTTTCTAAGGAGAGGCTTATGTCCAGCAGTGGACTATTAAAGGCTGTTGATGATATACATATGACTACAAAACTGCAAAACGATTAGTTTTCACACACATTCAAATGTTGAGTAGTCTATAAAAAGTATAATATGGAAAAATATTTAATTTTTCTTGGTGTATTAAATCCCTTATCCTAGTATGGACCTTATCCGTGTATGGTTATTTCAAAGTTTATTAAAAATTATGAATGATGTCCATAGGGCGGTGTTTAAGTTCGACGGTGCCCGCATAGTGTGCTCGGCGCGTGGCTCCGACTTCACAGAATTCCGCACACAGTTCTCTGACGACGATCGTGCGTTTGGATACCTCAGGTGAGTTCACACCTTTATAAAAAATGTATTCCTTTTATTTATGGACTAAATCTATACTAATATTATAAAGCTGAAGAGTTTGTTTGTTTGTTTGAACGCGCTAATCTCAGGAACTACTGGTCCGATTTGAAAAATTCTTTCAGTGTTAGAATAGTCCATTTATCGAGGAAGGCTATAGGCTATATATCATCACGCTAAGACCAATAGGAGCGGAGCACCAATGAAGAATGTTTCAAAAACGGAGAAAATTTATTACTATTTAGAGACGCAGACGAAGTTGCGCGGGTCAGCTAATTAATAATAAAAAAACCGGTCAGGTACGAGTCGAACTCGTGCGTCGAGGGTTCCGTACTAGATTCCACGTAGTAGTAGTCCATCCAGATTTTACGTAGATTTTCTAAAAAGTTTGTAAGTACCAAAATTTATCTTAATTTTCAACTTTTTTGTTTTTTTTGGCATTATTCCTTTATTTGTGCTGTAAGACGTTTCTTTTTGCCAAATTTCATGATTCTAGGTCAACGGGAACTACCAAATAGGTTTTCGACCCAAAACCTATAGGGTACTTCCGGTTGACCTAGAATTGTCAATTTTGGTTAAAAGCAAGGTCTTACAGCACAAGTATAGAGAAAACTCTGAAAAATAAAAAAGTTGAAAATTAAGGTAAATTTTGGTACTAGGTCTACCGGTTCCTGAGAAAATCGGTGGTGACACACGGACAGACGGACAAGAAAGTGATTTTATAAGGGTTCCTTTTTTACCTTTTGAGGTACGGAACCCTAATTAAGGATATATGTAAATGAAAAGATGTACGTAACGGCAGATTAATAATAATAATATATTATTATTATTATATTATATTATTGCCGAAAATGTTACTAGGATACCAATCTTGACAAATTTTTGACATTGGTGTTAATAATATTTTTTTATTGCACAGGTTGCAGATGGGCGACGAAATGTCAAAACGTAAGAAGTTTATGTTCATGACGTGGGTAGGGCCCAACGTGTCTGTCATCAACCGCGCCAAAATGTCAACCGACAAAGCCATCATCAAAGACATCATCTCTGTAAGTATACATTTGTATTTTATTACAATACAAGAACGTTTAAGTGTATAGTGCTAAAGTTTCTTTTGGATAGACTGTGATAGATCAGTTTTGGCATCTTCGCTTCAGATGAACGCTTACTCCAATACCGATAAATGTCAAATTAATTCTGGTCCACTTTATTAGAAGAATTATCTCAACAAGGTACGTAAAGAACAATTTAAGTAAGGCAACTGCTACTTCTGGTGCGACTGTTTTAGTACACGGGGTGTTTGTTGTCGGTTCTCTTCATAAGTAATTTCACATAGCCCTGTTTTTAACAGAGACAAGTTGGCTGAATTTTTGTTTCTTTTATTTCCAAATCATTTTTAGCAATACAAAGATCCTACGATGGTAAATTCTTTCCTTAAATAAACTGGAAATATTATGCATTATAGTTCTGTCGAAGATGCAAAAATATAAGGATTAAATAGTACTTTTTTGAAAACTCCTTAAGCAAACTTGCTTCAAAGACAACACAAAGAATAAATGAAACCATTAAACAAATGAATGATATAACAAATAATGAACGTGTTAGTTCCCACTATGTAGTAGAAGATACAACGAACAAATTAGCAATGATCTGGACAAAAGATAGATCAAAAGTACCCAAATTATTAAAGCATTACTTGTTGTATCATGTCACATAGCATGGCGACGCATGGCCGTCGCCACGCCAACAGCCGGTTTGACCCTCCACATTAGAAGTTTCACATCTGACACCTTACGTATCATCTCACTTCCAACACTGAACACAACGCTAATTACAACAGCTTCCATTTACAAATAATTTATTTATTTATAAAAAGATAGGAACCGCCTGGTCGTTCCCGTGACGTACTATGACTTATGTTTTTTTTTTGTTTACCACATTCACACAACGCCATCTAGTCCCGAACTAAGCATATATAATACATATATAAATACATATATACTTTTTTTTTTGTAAATATATACTTATTATACATAGAAATACCCAGACCAAATCAAACATTAAATGTGCACACAAATGTTTGACTTGAGCGGGAATCGAACCCGCGACCTTTGGAATAGCAGTCCGTTACACAAACCACTACGCCATTCGGTCTACCATGAACTCGAAAGCTCTGTATGGTACATCGATTTTTGTTAATAGTTGCATTCGATTTCGGAGTCGTAAGATAGACAAGCATAAACATGATCACTTAATAACTAGTACTAAATTTACCTTTCGCCTGACGTTACGACCAGAGGACCTAGTGTGAGTGAGTTCAGTGCGGGCTAATGACTAATCGCAACATTGAACAATCGAGTTGATGTGAAAGAAACTCACACTAGGGCCTAGTGTCTGGTCGCGTTGGTCATGATCACAGGCATAGGCCGTCAGCCTGTGTATCTACGGGCAAAGGTTCAGGCGAAAGTATAAAAGTAAAAGCAGAAGGTCAATTCTCATAATAAAGTTCGGTCTCACAACTGTCATAAAAGGTATTTTCGTAGGCAAGTATTAAACATCCAACTTTGACTGTAATGTGATTATGTCGTATTGAAACCGAAAATTGAATCGGTAATCTGCTAGTCTTAGTAATCCTTTACTACTTTCCTTTGAAAATCCCTGTGAGATCGAAAGTTGATCGGAACTGAATGGAGACCTAACTTTTATTACGAGAATTATCCTTCATTAAGTTTGTAAAGCTGTGCGTCACAGCCTCCCCTACCCTTCAGGAAATGTTAACAGTTCTGTTTGTACTAAAAAATAAACCTAAATATAGCATGCCGTTACCCAGTCATAAATTCATACAAATAAATAAAAATACATACAAATTGTTCTGGCAATAAGTTAATCTTGTACTTGTCTGTGTGAATCACAATATGCGTAAAGATTCCATGAACCATTCAAGCAGGACAGATGGTTTTTAACCGTGACTAACGATTGGGACAATTTCATACAAGGATTGAACTTGAATATAAATAGTTGACTTTGTGTGAAGTGCCACCAATCAATGCAATCATGATAAATTGAAATAAGCTGTATTCCTTATCCATGTGGTGACTGGACATAGGACAAAATCACAGTCAACTGTGATTTATCATTCGATATTTGCGTACATAGGTTAGGGTTGCTAGGTTAGACGCTATTTAACAGTAGGTAAATCTAGTATTTATTTTAAATATTGTTTGTTTTTTTTTATTCGAAAAGTGATCGATAGTGTGGTGGATATTTATATTTATTTATAATGTATTTCAACCCATACTCAACTCTTGTGTAATTGGGGCCAATATATGTAGATACTTATATACAGAGGTGTCGGTAACGTTACAGTGTCGCGAGTTCAATGGTTTTTTTCCAATCTCAAAAATTGTTTTTTTTTTTTTGTTATTCAATAATGCCCAACGCGCCTTAAGAAGTTTTCACTTCAAAAAAACAGTCAAATTGAAGACCACCTCATGAAGTCAAATAAAAATAGGTATCAATTGATTAGGGAATCAAAAATAAGCATTGTTGCTTAAATATTGTAAAAAATAATTTAATAAATGGTAAAATTCGGATCACATAAAATCATACAAATATTTTCTGACATTAAAACCGACAGTTTGTGCGACCGCTGAGATAAAATCATAACCAACAATACATTTGTATTTCGCAGTATCCAAGTCAATTTCTTTACTACCTGCGATCAACTTTAATTCAACTAGAGTAGCAATTTGTGCCAGGAGATTACTCGTGAGACCAATTTTTTCTTCAAGTATTGCATAGAAAATTGCTAGTAAACGGTCTAACGTAAACACCTTAGGCCCAAGTTGTGTATTTAATCTTTCAGATATTTTTGCTTTTGCTCTTACTTGCTGCAGTCTTTTCCGTTGTTTACCATGGTTCTTCATGAACAACCGTTTGTCTTCTTTAGGTGGATTATAGCTAGCAAGGTATGCTGCTATTAGCAAAAACTTAGCATAGTATGGTAATTCAAAGCTCTGTGCAAATGTTTTAGTTGATGTAAGCTCATCTTTCAAAGTATTTGCAAAGTTTTGTGGTATAAGTTCTGAGGTATTGTTTTCTTTTCCTGGTGATGGTTTCATGGGCTTAGCATCACTAATTCTAAGGTACAGTAGTTCCAAGTTTGATTTAAGCACTGGTGCTATGTGCCGCCAAAGTTTTGTCAAATCTGTAGCTTGTATTTCCTTTTTAATTATTGGCTCGCTGTATTTAGAAAAGTTTACAAGTGCCATATGTTGTAGTTCAATCAAATCTCGGCACGGCCTGTAGAATACGCTCAAAAATGCATTGAGAAAGTTCGCAAACAATTCAGGTTTCTCTAATTCATGTTTCATATCATCATCTACCTCGTATGTTAATAATATATTCTCAACAAAAGCTCTTTGTTGGAGAAAAATGATTTTGAACAATTCCTCTTTGTTGTAGTTAGGGAAGAATAGCTTGATTGGCTCACGAATACCCATTTTGTAATAAAAATTCTCATAAACTAAATGAGTAATAAATATGGTACAAATATTTAAGTCGCACAATTCACGCAATCGTAGGAATGAACTCATTACGTTTTGGTCCATGTTGCGTAGTCTCTCGGCCCTGTCGAACACTATAATAATTGGCTCATAACCACTGGTTGAGCCCTGAATTCTGTTTAAAATACTAATTAGATCCATCAATGTTTCACATTTTATTTCAACATCCTCATCGTCTAAGCCTGATAGTATGCTCTCATACATTATTTTAGGTGAATAACATTCGATACAGTCAATAATAACATGTTTGTATTTCAAACAGTGAAGTACGGAGTTTACACACAATGTTTTCCCTGTCGCCATGCTGCCACTGATAAATATAGAACAAGGCAAACATTCGTCGCCTTCGCCGAGAAGGTTAAATAAGTCGTTCAACTGTTCATCTCTGCACGGTACTTTGTTTAAAAGCTCTTCCATATTTGTTTATTTTTCCCGGCTTTTTGATAATCTTCTCCCCGTTCACTTAATTTTGACAACTTACCGTTGACTTGATGTTTCAAGATTTGACATTACTTCAATTACCTACTTGACGTTCCGTTGCCCGCGTTAGCGTTGTAGTTAAGGTGCCACCTCCTTATGTTGTTTTTATTTTCATTTAATATTCTAAAATAATTACGTTTGAAATAATTCTATAAAAATGTTCCTAATCCAGATGTATTTTTGTTTCAGAATTTTGCTGTTGAATTACAATTGGAAAATCAATCCGAAATAGACATCGATCAATTCAAAGATGCTCTGAATAGAGCAGGTGGAGCAAACTATGGGACTGGAGTCAGGGATTTATGAATTGCACAATAATTTAACCACCTATAACCTAAAACATATTAATACTTTGATTTCAATTCGTCTCTTAACTGTACGTTACTAAAACTTGTTTAAGAGACATATAATTAAAATCAAAGTTGTGGTATTTTTTTATTAGGCTAAATCAGGGCCAATTTTTATGAGTAGGGACTGCTTACTATTTTTAATTTTTTATACTGGTTTGATTAAGTTCCGCATTAGTCATTTTTGTAGTTTTGGCCGAAAAGAAACCTATTTATTTTTTTACCAAATTAAAATTTGATTGTACTTTATTTAGAGAAATTTTAGTGTTTCAATAATTTATTTTTTTAATTGTGCAATTGTACTCAATAGTGTAACGTAAGGATTTGCCAAAAAATCTTTAGTGAATGTTGCCATATATAGGGCGCGATAAGTGCATTTATTAATAATTTGTCTACTTGTATTTTACCGAATGAAAATTTTACAAAATAATACAAAAAAGGATTTGGATTTAACAGGCTTTTATATACATTGACTAGTGTTATTTATTACCCAGCATTGGTAAACGAATTGAAGTAAATACATACATTAACCAAACATGAAAAACTTATATTTTATTTACCTATATCCTTAGATGATGGCATTGTAGATGTCGCCACCTTCCTACCCAGTAGCTTAATAAAGCAGAAAAGTTCAAGTATTTATTTATTAGAATAATAGTTGCCTTGCCCGCGTTTTTCGGTCATCGCGTCATCATCAAAAAGTAGCCTATGTTACTTGCCGATAATGTACTTTCTATTGGTTATAGATTTTTGAAATCGGTTTAGTGGTATAAGCGTAACAAACAAGTTCACTTTTACATTTATAGGTATAGATTTAATCTGTAGAGGTTTAATGATGCATTGCATTTTTATTGAGTTTGTAGTGACAAGGCAAAAAACATGGAGAGGATTAAGTTCAGTTTCTTCGCCAAGATTTGTTGTAGGGTATAGGATGAACTGTTGTCAATTCTATTTCACATTACATCACATCAACAGCCTTTAACAGTCCACTGCAGGACATAGGCCTCTCCTTAGAAAGACGGTTTTGGCCTACTATACCACGCTGGCCAGACGGGTTGGTATAGGGTTTGTGTCCTGCGCCTCATGCCGCCCTGAGTGTGGCCGCGGGTGGACGGGGTGGGTTTCCTCTCCACCCGCATTAGTTTGGCCAGCCGCGAGGGGGCGGCTTCCGCGTGTGCCGGACGTCGCCTAAAGAGAGGTTTAAATTTTGAGACGGAGCCCGCACCAGGAGCGGGCAGGCGCTAGGAGGGGTCCGGATGTCTTAATAACAGCTGTTCCCGGATCCCTCCTATTACAGGCGCAGAGTGGCACACCGTGTGGTTTTAGTCGGTCCGAGTCCGGTTTTTGCAGTGCTGGTGTCCTGAGTTGTTTTGCGCCCTTGGTCGGCTCTTACGAAACCCACGACATGTATTGAGGTTGTGACATTCCGTATTCTTAATCTGTCACAACACGTTTCTCGTTTATTGTACGAGTTTTACCATAAAATAAGTTATTGGTGAATAAGGGGGGTTAACTTAGAAATAAAACTTCAATATAATTGAGTCTCATTCCATATCTTTATTTTGCAAAAGTAACAATTATGATTTATGAAAAAAGTTATTGTTTCAAAACTATCATAACAATTTTATTTAATGAAACTAAAATGCTTTCTAAATGAATATAAAAATATTATGGCTTAGTGTTTTGGCTCTGACGAACACATTTTACTTACCGCTAATATATTTCTACACGGTCCTCCTAGAGGAACATACAATAAACGATAGTATTGCTTTTCATTACATTTTGAACTATAATTAAATATTTTTAGAATTGTTTTTTCATTGTTAACAATATTTTGTATTCTTCTGGTGTTTCTATATTTAAAAAACAAGTATTTAACTAGGTATATTTATACTAATTGATTAATATCTTGATATTTAAGGCATTGTTATTATTGCAACATAGTTTCTAATAAATATTCATTACATAGTTTTGAATAAAGTTTAGCAATACTGAGCGACCATAGACTAATTGAAATGCAGAGGAGGAATATTAAAAAATAGAGAGAGATTTGTGGTTATGCAAAGAAGGAATATTTCAATAAAAAGGGATGTATGGTTATGCAAAGAAGGGATCTTTCAATAAAAAGAATAGACAGATTTATGGTTATGCCGAGTTTTTTTTTAAAAGGCACAGATTTATGGTAATGCAAGATTGCGTCTATTTAAAATGAACGTTAAGGAGGGAAAAGAACAGAGAAATTTAAGGTTATACAAAATGGAGTTTTTTTTTTAATGAACGCATAGAAAAGAAATGTCACATTCAATATAAAATAAATGGTAGTTTAGCTGCTAAACTCTTGATTATGGTCATTATGAATATAAAAACATGTACTGCGGACGGTTTCATATTTAATATTGTCTGCTAAAACAGGTTTATTATTATTATGAACCCTTTAAAACTGTTAACAAATTATCTAGTATAATTAACATGGGTATTATGGCTATCAAACCTAAGTACCCTACCCACCATGGGTAGCATGTACTAGCGGAAATAAGTAAATACTAGCTCTCTTCGAATGCAAATAATACTATTTGACTAATATTTGTACATTGTTGTAATAATATTGAATATACATTTAATTTACTTCTAATATTATTGCTGTTAATTCAGATTTCAACTCAGTTTATAAAATGTCGTGTATCTTGTATACATGCGTAGAACATATTTACGAAGGGTCTAAGATCAATCATGTTTTTGACACGATTTCGTTTAAAAATTGAATATGCGACGCCGATTTTTTACCACTAAGCCAAAAGGCAAGTATGCAAACACAAAAAGATTTCTATATTTTCCTAATGAAAATATTATGCTCATCTAAGTTTAACTTAAAAATTAAGAGTGAAAACCCAATTTATAATATTAAGGCCATAAAAGTTTTTTTATATAAATCTTAAAACCCAAGTTATTTATTATTTTTCTCTATATCCAGTAAAATTATATGTATTTTAATTTACTTTTATAATATTAATCCTGAATAATATCAATATAAAGTTTGTCTGGTTACAGTATAGATGTGTGCTAAAATTATTAAGTTCATATAGTTTTTATTATCATCATCAACAGCCGTTAACAGTCCACTGCTGGACATAGGCCTCTCCTTACAATGGAGGTTTTGGCCTATTATACCACGCTGGCTACACGGGGCCAGGGTTTGTTAAAAGTTTTCCTTCTCTATGCAGTGCTGTTGTCCTGCGTAGTTTTCTCCCTTAGTCGGCTCTTACGACACCCATGGGATGAATAGCACCCCTATTCTGATTCTTTCTGTATTTTTAATCCGTCACCACACGGTATTTTTTTCTAAATTGTACTTTTTGTATATAGTAACATGTCATGACATTGAAATGGGGGGTTAGTCAGATTTATAACTTCGCTGGATATAGTGAGTTCAACCTTTTATATTTATTTATAAATTATAGTTATGAACACCCGCTGTGAGCTACATCTATTTAATTCTACCACTGTTTCATTGAAATACTTTTTTTTATGCGCGTGGGGGTAGACGAGCAGACAAGTGACCTGATGGAAAGTAACCATCGCCGCCCATGAACGTCTGCAACTCAGGAGTCACAACCGCGTTGCCGGCCTTGTAGGAAGGAGTACGTTCTAAGAATAACCTATCAGATTTGAACAATATGGTCTACATCTACATTTAAATATATCTGAAGCATTTAATTCTGTTATATGGATCCAGCCTATATATGAAGCTACTAATATACCTTTATCTTATTTTATAGTTTTTTTTTTCTCTAATTGACCTTATTTAGTTGCTTAAATAAAACTTTGTTTCATGAATTACTTGATACAGAGACACTTTTTAAATTGGGTTATACTTAGCTTATGCGTCCTGGACTGATCCTTAAATAAGATTTGTAGTTTGAATTTTAAATTTGGAACGTTTTGGTTCTCTATTAGTGTAAAATGGCGCTGGCCGTGTAGCGGCGTCATTTGCGTAGCGGAGTCAGTTGCGTAGGGGCGCTTGTAGTGTAGCGGTGTAATTGGTGTAGCGGCGCTAGCGGTGTAATGGCGCTAGTGGTGTAGCGGCGCTAGTGGTGTAATGGCGCTAGTGGTGTAGCGGTGTAATAGGTGTAGTGGCGCTAGTGGCGTAGCGGCGCTAGTGGCGTAGCGGCGCTAGTGGTGTAGCGGCGCTACTTGTGGGCGGGCGCCAGTGCCCGCAGCAGCTTGGAGCGCGTGTGGGCCCCGAACAGCACGCTCAGCAGCGCCACGCCGTAGCCCGTGGCGCGCTCGCCCTGCGACAACACCACTTCACTCACTCTCATATACACGATACATTTAATGCTAAATACCAGTATGTCCAAAATAAGTAAGATGTCAATTTTCCCTGTCCATAATTACAAGAAGAAGCAAAAAAAAGCAGAAGAAGAAGCACTCTTTTCTACCTAAAAGAGCTCCATTGTTATTGAATCCAAACTGTAGGGACATCAAAACAAATATGAGCTTAAATTTTAGGGGTGATATAAATTTAAGAGATTTATTAGTAGCCACTGTAGAGGCTCACTATTCGCAAATAGGAATAAACTTTATTATAGACCATTTTGTTTTCTTTGACAAAGAATACATCAAATTAATGAACATATAGAAATGACAACTTTATCTCTAAAAAGCAACCAACACATACACAGTTTCATTTCGATATGGCATATTAAAAATTGGTTTAAATTGACTCACTGACTGAATCGATACTCAAAATATAATATATAGTACTCACTGTGTCCATATGAATTTAAGAAATCAATCTGTACGTATTTGCAGGAACCTTACTCAGTGACATGCGAAATGTAAAAATAAGTATAAATATATAAGGTTAAGGTACATACGCAATGCGCAGGAGCAGCCATGTCGACGTGCAGCCACTTGCCGGGGAAGTCGAACCCGAGGTGCGCTAGGATGAACAGTCCCGCGCATGACGGCTGCGCGTTGTTGCGGTCCTGCTGGACAACACCACAGACATACGTTTTATATCCTCGCTACACCTACTCATAATCTTTACCATAAATGCGTCTAATAGTCCAGTAAGATTAACGTCTATGGTTGGGATATCTGACATAATATATGAAACATAATTTTTTTTTTCTTCTTGTTTTTTAAAGACAACTCCCGTATTAGGAATGTATCCTTTGTCGCGGGGGACTTTACAAACATACATGTAATGGACACAATAAACACCCAGACTGAGAACAACAATTTGTGGATCGCACAAAGTGTCGTCCCATGTGGGGTTTGAACCCACAACACTCGGTAGTAGGAAGCGGAGTGGTGACCGCTTAAACCACTACGCCATCCGTGCAGTCAGTCAGTATTTTAAAGACACAATGAGTCTTGTGTAAGGATATAATAAATATAGCACAATTATTATCTATACAAATAAATAAAATTGGAGTTTCTGTTTATAATATTAAAATAACCACTTTTTACTAAATGCATATGTATGTTTACACGGTACATATGCCAATATAACATTTTTTACAATTTTTGTCTGTCTGTTTGTTCTGGGTAATCTCTGGAACGGCTGGACCGATTTCGACGGGTCTTTCACTGGCAGATAGCTGATGACATAAGGAGTAACTTAGGCTACTTTTTTTACACTAGCTTCGCCTCGCGGCGTTGCCCGCGGTTATAACAACAAACGCGGGTAACACCGCGGGTCTCAGCTAGTTAAGAATATAATATTCAGAGCAGAGTCACACCGCATTATGTTACATATACCACATAGCGTAACGTCACCACACTAACAGCCAACATGACCTTTCACACTTTATGTTTTACTTTTGATAAACGAATTCGGTCGTTGATTAATATACGTTTATTAGAGCCGGGATATATCAGGTTAGATATAAGTAATAAAAATTTATGTATAAATACGTCTTCTGAATAATTTTGTAGTGGGTTCCAAGACAGTTAAATGTTTTCCTGGGACCTCCGGAGTGTCATGTGGGAGGGATAAGGGCCGTAAAAAAAGTGGTATACCAAGATCAAAACAAACGGTATGTGCTTCGACATATATATGGTTCAGTTCGACCGAAGTGATATCATGGCTTTACAGACAACTGGTGTTAAGCAGTTCTTATATTGTATTATATCCAGAGGGTTAGGTTACCTCAGACCCCTTTAATTCTGGGGAACCTCCTTTAGTTCGGTCGAAAGCCGGTCACAGACTTTTATAGAAATCAGGCATCGGCATGTGAAAAAATACAGGAACGGTTAGTCTTACCGCGACGCTGTTCTTCATGTCGGCGACGCAGCTGGTGAACTCGGTGAAGTGCAGCTCCGGCGCGAAGGGCAGCGGGTGCGCCAGGTCGCCCGACACCAGCCCCGCGCCCACGCACTGCGCCTCCAGCGCGCTGTCGTTGGACACGATCGCGGCGTGGTACTTGCCCGTCGCCGTGCCCTGCCGACCGACCCGCTACAGTACTTGGCCTAGTGTGACTTCATTCTGCTCAACTCTTCACCGAATGCGGTCGCAGTGCAAAACGAGTCGATGTGAAATAAACACATACTAGATCCCCAGACGAGCATATCACAGCACATGATAGAGATTCTACTCTCTATTAGAAAAGATGTCGCTTTTAAAAGATACAGTGAGTAATAACAAACTATTAAATACTCTAAAAAATTTAATTAATAAATCTCATCTCCTGGAGTAATAAAAATATTGTTTTAGTAAGTTTGTTAGCCCGTTCTTCAAGGCTCAACCCCTTTCTAAACGGTTATAGATCGGCACAAACATATATGTAATAGGTTTTATATATATATATATATTTTTTTGCTAAATATTTCAAAAACCAGAGATTATTGCAATTGTGCGTGTTGATCTATGACTTTAGAGTCTACATAAGAAACGATTTTAAAGTTTTTTTTTAATTAAATATTTTTTTGAGTTTGAGTTAAGTAGCTGTGTTGTTAGCTTATTTTAGCAGTGCGATTTAAAAAATGTGTTTTGAATTTTGTTTTATTAGGAACATAGTATGTGGGGAATTCTTTACAAAAATTTTACATGTACAAATAACGCAGACCAACAAAATTTTCAATTAAATACTGCGCACCCCGAGTTCAGCTTAGCAAACCTTTAACTGAACTACAAGCCCTTCACATCAACATCAACAGCCTATACTAGTCCACTGCTGGACATAGGCCTCTCCTTAGAAAGGAGGTTTTGGCCTACTATACCACGCTGGCCAGACGGGTTGGTATAGGGTTTGTTTCAAGTTTTCCCTCTCTTTGCAGTGCTGTTATCCTGCTTAGTTTGCTCCCTTAGTCGGCCCTTACGACACCCACGGGATGAATTGGGGTGGTGACAATTTGTATTCTTAATCCGTCACCACACGGACAACTACAAGCCCTAAAACTAAGCCAACCCTGTTCACTATTATCTCAGCAAAAAACTTTTAGAATAGGATATCTCAAAAACCTGACCATGATAGAGCAATTCTGCTGATTTGGATTCAGCACACAAAAATCGTTCGGGAAACTTTACTCTGGTTTCTGGGAAAGAAACTTTGTCAAATTTTGTAAGCCTGTATTATTTAGGAGCCATAAATAACGCAAGCTGCATCATGTTCTAGATATGTGTGATTATACAATAGCTCCTATATCTATATATATATTAGAGATTTCCACGTATATAGTCACTCATCACGATATCTCTGGAACCATCAGAGCTAAAGACTTGAAATTTGGAAGGAATATTCTTTTCACCGAGTAGAGGTCAGCTAAGAACGGATTTTAAGAAATTCAAAAAATAAAATAAATTTTTTAAATAATGTAAATAGCAAAACAACTTTTGCAGGGTCAGCTAGTATATCATACACTAACCTGTGCACCAGTTAAAGTTGCAACATCCACAATTGTATCAGCTTTCAGATCTCTCGACGCGTACACCACACCATCACTCAACACCAGACGACCTGGAACACAGGTTTATTTTATACCATCATCCCCAAGTGTACCATGGTACAGATATCTGGGTTGAACTACACTTGCATAGAGTCGTACCTTCAGCATCTGTGTTGTTGATCTCGACAGTGCGTCCTGAATACAGCTGGTGGATATCATCGGGCCTGGAAATAGAAAAGGTAGGTTAGACATTTTTTGTAAACATTTATTATTATTTTTATATATAACATATAAGTATATTTTTTAGCACTCAGAAGGCCAGTTCTCGTAATAAAAGTTCGGTCACAATTCAGTTCCGATCAACTTTCGATCGCACAACTGTCAAAAAAGGTATTTTTGTAGTAAAGTATTAAACATCCAATGTTGACTGTAAAATTATTTTATTGTATTGTATCCGAAAATAAAATCGGTAATCTGCTAGTCTTAGTAATACTTTACTATTTTGGTACCTGGTAGCGTTTGGTCCCACGGCGTTCTCTGCGAGGCAGAGCACGGCTATATAACGTACCTGGTAGCGTTTGGTCCCACGGCGTTCTCTGCGAGGCGGAGCACGGCTATATAACGTACCTGGTAGCGTTTGGTCCCACGGCGTTCTCTGCGAGGCAGAGCACGGCTATATAACGTACCTGGTAGCGTTTGGTCCCACGGCGTTCTCTGCGAGGCAGAGCACGGCTATATAACGTACCTGGTAGCGTTTGGTCCCACGGCGTTCTCTGCGAGGCAGAGCACGGCTATATAACGTACCTGGTAGCGTTTGGTCCCACGGCGTTCTCTGCGAGGCAGAGCACGGCTATATAACGTACCTGGTAGCGTTTGGTCCCACGGCGTTCTCTGCGAGGCAGAGCACGGCTATATAACGTACCTGGTAGCGTTTGGTCCCACGGCGTTCTCTGCGAGGCAGAGCACGGCGTGCAGGTTGACGGAGGGGCGCGCCTTCACGGCCACGGCGAACGCGCCCAGCACCGCCGCCGCACCGCCGCAGTCACCCTTCATGCCCACCATCGACGTCTGAGGGACATACAGGGAGGTCAATGAGAAGTCAGCATTTTAAAATTAAATAATGGAAAACAGCTGCAGGTGTTTGGTGTATATGGTGACCCTTCAATTAGTTTATACAGTTACATTTCAGCTAACACTAAAATGTTTCAAAACAGTTTAAAATAAGTATTTAAAACATTCAAGATTTAAAGACCTGTGGTCAACTTCGATCACGAAGCGATTTCTTGTGTTGAATAAAGATCTGTGGAGTTAACATACACAAAAAAAAACTAATAGCTCAATGATAAAACGAGTTTTTATGTTCTACCGACACAATGCCTAGGCGATGATGCTCAGTGGACCGCCACAAATTAACGCAAGAGTTATTATTAATAATAATAATAATTTATTTATTTGACCAATATAAATATTACAGTGTAGGACATTTCAGTTTAACATAGATCTTAGACCATAATTAGACTAAGTTATACTAGCGTAAATCTATAGTAGTGTTATTTTATGATTAGATTTCATAAAGATATTACGATTTTGTTTAAAAACTTTAGTCGCTGCCTGCCTGAACTAGGATAAACCTGATGGTATTAAGTAGTAAGTGTGGTGGTGAACATGAAGGACTCACCCTGGCCTTGATGCTGAGGCCGCCGGTGTCGTAGACGATGCCCTTGCCGACCCAGGCCACGGTGTCGGTGGCGCCGGGCGGCTGCCACGACAGCACCACGAGCGCGGGCGGGCAGGCCGCGGCACGTCCCACGCCGTACAGCCCGCCCATGCCCTTCGCCTTCAGCTCCTCGCCGCGGATCACCGTCGGCGCGCTTATATCTAAATCTTTGGATAGCTTGAATGCTTCCTGAAAAATGAACAATTTATATTGGTGAAACTCTAGTCTATCTTAGGAACCGGCCTTGTCAGTAGTTGTGTTTGCGACTAGCTCAGTTCAGCAGTCAGGGTCACAAACTGTGATCCTGCTCCTGATCCAGAGACCTTGATTCGATTTCGATTCGAAAACAAATAACTGTATACGATCAGAGTGATCATTCATTCTGTATGTTTATCTGTAGTCTGGTCACCATAATACAGAGTCTGTCTAGTTTAGATCCAAGAGCTAAGCTAAACTGTATGCCCAGTGTCTTGAGTTAAAATATATATATATAAACAATCACTGATCATTTTAACAAGCACCAAAGTGCTGGCAAGGTTCTTCTGAATTGGTAACAAATCAATAAATATTAGACAGATCCGAACTGAATACCAGATACTATTGAGTTCTAGAATTTAAATTAATGTTTTAAACGACTTAAAAAAAGAATCATTTCAAATAGGTTAATTATATTATTTTTTGTGTTTGTTACACATGAGCACACAAACCTCTAATTTACGAACCTATTTAGAAAACATTTTTTTCATTTCATTTCATACTTTCCGTTTGGTTCCATTTAAATTTGACTTTACGGTGGCAAATTAACAAATAAACAATATAGTTTTTTACAATTCATAATGTTGTAGTCTTAAGCATGAAAAGAGCCAATGAAGTAGGTATGTAGTACCTCGATAAAACTGTCTACATTCATAATGTTAGCTGGCGTGTCGGTGATCCTCGCAGCGAGTCTGGTCGCCTCCGCCACGTCCTGAAGAGTGCTCAACTCCTCAGCCGAAAGAGCATTGTCACACAATGCGGGGTCCAAAGTACCGATTCCCTCTTCTTCTGATTCTGCATCTAATTTATTAAAAACATATTAGATGATCAGTGTATTTTTTTACGGAGATAAAACAGCGGATGATGATGACGATGGCAAGGTACTACCTACATTTGCTATTAAATAGTCACAAGTGCCTTGACGGTCTTTGCGGTGAAAGTACGCTCTTTTCTTAAGGATTTAAGATTGTATTGATTCGGATATATTGCAGGCAATAATTTGTTCCACAGTCTGACTGTGTGAGGTAAAAATTTCTTTGAAAAGCGAGTGTCTGTTAGGTTCTTTCAAATCAATTCGATTATCACGCTGACTGCTTTCGGCGTTGCAATTGGCCCGTACCGAAGTCTTCAGTTATTGCAACGAGGAACGCACTCCTCATGAGAGCGAGTTGATGGAAAAAGAAGCTCACACTAGGCCTCTCTCAAAAATAGAGTAACAAAAATTGGGACATAATTATCGTCTCATTCAATTTTATCAATCAAATTAATTCAATTCAACGTCCCGTTTGGTCCCATTCAATTTAAAAAGAAACGTGCCAACTTTAAAGATGGAATATTAAGAAATGTTGAATGCAGTTGACAACAATCCATCATGATGCTTTGAATCCGGTGATTTTTTGAAGTGATAATTTCTAAAGTTAGTTATTATTCCGTCATCGTTGTGTTAAATTATTTAGTCAGTGTACAACAATATAATATTAGCAAGTTTCTAAAATGACAAACTACATACAACCTTTTATTCTTTGTTTTACCCCCCCCCCCCCCCCCTTAAGGGGAAAATTACCCAAAGTTCTTTCTTAGTGGGTGCTTAAAATATAAAAAGCGTTAGTTGTCAAAATTTCAAGTTGTAGTCAAGGTGAGTCGGGGGCGAGTAATCAGTAACGTACAGACGAGTAGGAAAGCAGCAGTGCAGTCGTAGAACGTTCTTACCACCTAGTAGTTTCTCGTGCACGAGGTGTATCTCGACGGTGAGCGCGCGCGCGGGCGGCGCGGGCGGGGCGGCGGGCGCGCCCAGCGGCGCGGCGGGCGAGCGCGCGTGGTACAGCGGGTACGAGCGCCCGATGCTGGCCGCGCTCGCCAGCGCGTCGCGCTTGCGGCACACCAGCTGCACAGTGCACAGACCACCCGTCCTTTACCTTCATTGCGCACACAATACGTCTTCTAACGGGACCCCGAAACTCCAAAGTATGTAAGTCAAAATTTACCCCGTAAATAAATGGTTTCTTTCTAGATTTCTGTTATGCAAAAACTGTAATAGTTATCTACTTTTTTAATTTTCAACAAGACCATGACCGCATCTTCTCTTTATAAAAAAAATAACAAATTAAACCGATGGAAAGTGCTATTATTAGTTTCAGCTAACTATTATTAAGTTCCTACAAACATCAATCAGGGGGATTACGTCATTATCTGATGAATGTGGTGACAGCTGTCAGATTGTCGGTTAGTGACGAATTTTTTTTTGTGAAAATTTGTTAACTTTAATTTATACCTATATAATTTCTAAGTAATCAGACAAAGTAAATATGACTTTTGAAATAATTAAATTTCCTACATTAAACTTGTATTAAAAGATTTTGTTTGTATTTATTATTGCTACCAAGAGCAAGCACATGTTACCAAAAGCGAGCATATGTTACCAAGAGCGAGCACATAATACCAAGAGCAAGCTATTTTGGGACTTAGATGGGTATTGCAGAAATTAATACCACAAATCAGTGTACACTCACCACAATAGTCTCATCACTTGACCGTTGAGTGGCCCTCACTATCTTGGCGAGTGCATGCGAGCGAGCCGGCGCCGCGTGCCGACTGCGGCGCGCCGGCAGTGTGGCCAGCGACGCGGCCCGAGGCCACAGCTCGCATGAATCGCCGGGAGACGAAGTTACACATTGGATCCCTCGTCGCCATGCCTGAGAAAAATAAAAATATTTTTTTTTTTTTTTAAAGACAACTCCCGCATTAGGAATACATTCCTGTGTCGCGGGGGACTTTACAAACATACATGAAACGGACACAAAGAACACCCAGACTCAGAACAACAATTTGTGGATCACACAAAGTGTCGTCCCATGTGGGGTTTGAACCCACAACACTCGGCGTAGTAGGAAGCGGCGAGGTGACCGCTTAAACCACTACGCCATCCGTGGAGTCATATGACATTTGTTTTTGGCAGTAATAATAATAATAATTTGAAACTACTATACTAATATCACCACCCTATCTGTCCCGTGGGTGTCGTAAGAGCCGACTAAGGGAGCAAACTACGCAGGACAACAGCAAAGAGAAAGACATCTTGACACAAACCCTATGTCAAATTGTCTGGCCAGCATCGTATAGTATGCCAAAACCTGCTTTCTAAGAAGAGGCCTATGTCCAGCAGTGGACCATTAAAGGCTTATGATGATGATGATGATGATGATACTAATATTATAAAGCTGAAGAGTTTGTTTCGAATTGAAAAAATATTTTATGAGGCCACATAGCTTGGCTTCATTGGCTACAACCAATGGAGCCAAGCATCGATGAAAAATGTTGGAAAAATTATTTCTTTTGGTAAAATAATTTAATTTTATTTGGTAACGCAGACGATGTTGCGAGGGTCTGCTCGTTTACTAAGGTAACCACTATTTGGTTGACGGGCATGTAAGTCGCGAGTTAGTGACCCTGACTGCTACGCCGGAGGTCGTGGGTACGATTCCCACCCAGGATAAATATTGTGTGATGAGCATGGTCATTTGTTCTGTTTCTAGGTGTAACTTATCTATAATATGTATGTACTTCGAAATATCTAAGTATGTTTATCAGCAATCTGGTTACCATAGTACAGACCAAGTATCAGACGCAAAACAAATCATCGTGCTTATCACACAATCTCTTTATGGTAATAGAACCAACGAACTCTGGCTGCGCAGCCAGCATCACTTCCTACTATTCAAGCAGTCTTATCGCTATAGTTAAACCGCCGTAAGCTTGGCGATCCTGATGGTTTGCGGGACGCGGGGCGGGTGATGCGCTCGGCTATACATGACACGATGTACTAACTCGATATCTTCAGATTTATTTGTTTGAGATTTAATCTACACACGATGTAATAAAAATCGAATTTATTTCCATGTATTATAAAGTCAGTGTATTGTAAGTTTTTATGATTAATTGTAAAATTTAATACTGTAAAATAATTTTAATAAAATCGCCTTATCTTCATCATGTAAAATATATTCAGATACAATTTTAAAATTCAAGTAAAATAATAAATATTCATATTAGAACTTTAACAATAGAACCTCTGTAAGCCGAACTTCAAGTTTTTAAATCTTTTTGTGACGCAGAGTCGGCAGATTATCCATGTTGCAAAATAATACCGTGTGTAGCAGTCTTAAGAAAAATAACACGTACGGCCATGCTTTCACGTCAGTCACTGCCGGCGGACAGCGACGCACTAGCTAATTGGTTGAATGCACCCCCGCTCCGCGTCCCCCAAACAATCAGGAGGGCCAAGCTTACGGCGGTTGAACTATAGGGTGCCTTTATTTCGACGTAACCACGTTGAAGCGACACACACTTATCAAACGCTTAAAACCCATACCTCTTCAGTAACTCGAGGCTCTAATTTACATCTGACATCGTCCCAAGTCAGAGAAGCAATATGGCTGGCTTGACCGACGATGAGCACTGGCTGTTGCTCAGGGTCCGAAGGCGAAAGCCCCCAGCGGAACTTGATGCTCACGGAGGCGTTGGACATCCTGCGAACTGGAAAGAAGAAAATTTTGATTAAATTCAAGATTTAATGACCGGTCTAAGAAGATATAAAGAAGAAAAATATTTAGACACAATTAGGTCCTTCTATCACTATAAAAGTCACTTTTAAACAATACTTTATTTTAATGTTGGTCTAGTGGTTAGTGACCCTGACTGCTACTCCAGAGGTCGTGGGTTTGATTCCCAACCCAGGACAAATAATTGTGTGATGAGCTAGGTCATTTGTTCAGTGTCTGGGTGTAATTTATCTATAATATGTATGTATTTAGAAATATGTGAGTATGTTTATCAGCAGTCTAGTTACCATAGTACAGGCTCTGCCTAGTTTGGGATCAGGCGGTCGTGTTTGAGATATGTGAAAATATTATTATTAATGTTTAATTTTCTTTAACGAAAAATCGATATCATAGAAACTAATCAATAATAAAATTTACTGAAGAAAATATTTTTCAAGAAAAATCTCAAACTACATTTTCCTTCCAAAATCAAATACAAAAAAAGATTACAAAGTATTACTAAACCTTTTTGTAAAACACTATAAATATTCACTTAAAAAAAAAATCCAACACAACATTGGAATGTATTATTTTCAAAAACCAGTAATTTATCGAACATACACTGTTCAACTTATTGCTTTATCAATACAGAAAAACGTGTTTCTTATCAAACAACAAACGTCACGACTATATTATGATGTGTAATAACAAATATAAACTACAATGGTTCGAGTTCTGTTTGACTGTTACAGTTAAGTAAATAGGTTAATTAAAAACAAACTTAAATGAAAAGCTATGTTCCAAAATAAATAAGAGCAAACAAGTCACCTTATGGTACCCAAGAGAGGACTGTAGAAGAAAGGGACGTCTGAAAACTAAATGAAAGACGATATCCGCCTAACCTTGGCACCTTACTGGACTATAGTAGCAGAGGATAGAGCTCAGTGGAGAGAGCTAGAGGAGGCCTATGTCAAGAGGCGCACCGAATTGCGAGACATAATATAACAAATAGAACACGGAAATATGTATTGTCAAAGCTGTAGCGATTTCGGAAGAAAAGGGCTTGATAATTATTAAATGAAAGTAGAATATTAGGCAATTATTAAATACAAGTCTGATTTATCTTTCACCACCAAACAATATAATTTAGGAGTAGATAGAAGTAATTTGTTTTCTTTATTGTTATGTCATGTAGTAAACAATGATATAACTTTTTGCTAAATTGTCTTAAAAACTAAAAAGAATAAATTTTCCCGTTTGCACAATACTTTTCATTGATACTCGGCTCCTGTTGGTCATAACTTGATGTTATATAGCCTAGTTATATAGCAGGATGCCTTGATAAAAGAGCTATCTAACACTAAGAATTTTTCAAATCGAACCAGTAGTTCCTGAGATAACCCAATCATACAAACTCATAAACTTTACCTCTTTATAATATTAACATAAAATATGTGACACTTCATTTATATTTTTAATTAAAAGTATATGAGTGAATAACTCCTACTATTCTTGTAATTCCTTCAGAAAACTAGGTAGGAATCAAACCTACAAACACTACAGTGTATTATAACTCTTTTGCCATAAACTTGTTTCTTATTATCAACAAAAAAACTAACGCTTTTCTCTGGAAATCAATAATACATACTACAATACAGTACAATCATTACTTACGTGAAAAAAAAACTATTGTCAAACTCAACAAGGCTAGAGAGACTAGCCTCAAGCAATGTTTACTTCAAACTGTATTTAAATTTTATTTATATATATAAAATGTATAAATAGGTAACAAATCACTGTCAGCACGTAAATTAAGCAAGTTTAAAGCACCACATTTATTTCATTGCTAACAGGTAGCTAATTATAGAATAAAATACTCATGTAATACTGGTATTGTAGAAAAAAAAAAAACCTTTAGCAAACAGAAAAGGGTATATTTAAAATATTTAAAATTCAAAGAATAAAACAGATCTTGATTTGAGTGAACAGATATTCGTAAGTTGAAGTGAATATGTCATCTTTAAACTAAATCAAAATTTATACATGTGTCTACCTCCCACCTTGACGTTGGCAGAATCATCGATATCCGATGGAGCCATTAAATTAAAAGAAGAAGAAGAAGAATACATGTGTCTATCAGTTTGTCACATATAAATATTTACTCATTAAATTTATAACACTCTCCCTTTTCTCCTTCATCATCATCAACCGCCTTTATTGGTCGGCAGCTGAACATATGCCTCTCCTTAGGAAGGAGGTTATGGTTTCATGCTTGCCAGACGGATTGGTTTAGGGTTTGTGTCAAGTTTTCCTTCTCTTTGCAGTGCTGTTGTCCTCCCTTAGTCGTCTCTTACGACACAAAAGGAATGAATAGGGTGGTAACACTCCGTATTCTTAATTTGTCATCACACGGAATTCATTGGCAACGATTTAACAGTTAATAGAATAGTTAGTGAATCAAGCTGTGCTGTAATCAGCCCTTATCCATTATCCAAATTAATATTCCTTCGGAAAGGATTTTACTTCAGAAGATGAACAGAATGATAATAACAACACAAGTTACGGACACAACAGCTCTATTGCATGTTTTATGTCCTACATGAAGATTGGGTCATAACTCTTAATTGCTAATACGGAGCTGAAACGTGGACACTTACGGTACGGCTGGTCCACAAGTTCAAGTCGCTCAACGTGCTATGGAAAGGGCTATGCTCGGCGTTTCTCTAAGGGATCGCATCAGAAATGAGGTGATCCGGCAGAGAACCAAGGTCACCGACATAGCCTACCGGATCAGCAAGCTGAAGTGGCAGTGGGCTGGCCATATTAGCCGCAGAACCGACAACCGTTGGGGAAAACGAGTTCTTGAGTGGAGACCGCGTCTCGGTAAACGTAGTGTAAGACGCCCACAGGCCAGGTGGAGTGACCATTTGCGCAAGATGGCTGGCAGGAGTTGGATGCAAGAAGCCCAAAATCGATCTAAGTGGCGTGCAATGGGAGAGGCCTATGTCCAGCAGTGGACTGCGTTAGGCTGATGATGATGATCTTAATTGCTTCCAAGCAATGATTTTTTCAATTTGTAGTAACAATAACCCTTTTCTCTTGTTATATATTTGATTAATTTGCAGAAGAAACCTCTGCTTAGTAACAAGTAAACTGACACTAAGCATTCAGAGTCAAACTGTGACCTTAATTACAGAAGATCACAGTTTGACCCAATGCAGGCTGTGATCTTCTGTAATTTAGGATACACCAGATCAATAATTTATTGTTCTCTGTGAATGCTATGTGATTCTTGTTGAAGATCCTTAAATAAATAAATAAGTTATTTTAATACATATTTTCTTTCAGATTGTTAGCACTGCTAACACTTGTTAGCTAAATCTCTGTTTCGATGTTATCTAACAAGCAAGGAGCACCATCTCGGTCTATGAAATGTGTCGCATAAAATCGCGTCGAATAAGGGTGGCGCTGCAGAAGCCTAGGATAAATTGATATTGGCTTAAATAGTGTAATAATAAAAAATAAAAAAAATAAATTTTATGTGTGGGTTTGTTTTAAACAAATAAAAAAACTAGACTGGTGGCATCAAATAGAAACAAAATAACAAAATAAAAGTCTCGGGCGCCAGATACCACCTTAAAAGAACACAGAACCCACCACAAACACAACAAATACCTCGGACATCTCAGCCAGCACCGAACCTTTTTAACCCAAGGCGGGAGGCAGCTAATGAATACAAGATGTTAAGTTCTAATGGCAGTTTATTATCCCGTAGTGTCTGTAGAGTACAATGTGTCTTATGTCTCTAATTACAATAGGTAATTCTTATACACAAATTAGTACTGTCATTAATGCAATCCTTTCCAATAAGAAAAATATAAGGTTAAATAAGTTTTAAAGAGTCACATGAAGACCCAAAAAGAAAAGAGTTTAAGGGTAGTTGTATGCAACGCCCTACTCCCTTAATTAAAATTAACCCCTTTGGGGACCTGTATAGGTTTTAAAACAAAGTCGCATAAAGACTTAATAGACAAAACAATAAACTCTAAGGGTAGACATAGCATTGACCTACTCTCTAATAAAAATAACACCCCTTGGGGACCTGCAGTATTCAATGCCACGTCGCCAAGAAAAATATAACAAAACACATACCGATGACCTTGGTTCAGTCCGAATGAAATGAAATCAAACCAACTCCGAAACTTCTCACTCCGGATCCCACGTGGTGGAAGAGGCGGGTTAGCACTCCCAGGCTCCAGACAATGGCGTACAGCTAAGCAGCTTTTTCTACCATTCTGGCTCTCCACAGCAAACCAACTTCCTGGGGTCAGGACGGCGAGAGACAAAAACCGAATGCCACGCAATGACATTCCAATTAGAAAGTAAAGAAATTTAGGTATTGTAAAGACTTTAGATATAAACTAAAAACCCTGATTCATCAGGGTCCCAAAATGTTTCACAAATTAAGCAGCGGCATTATAAGCATTGCCTTTTCAACAAAAATAATCACTCGATCCAATAGCTCGAGTCTTAACTAGGTTGGCCAAACATTTAAAGAGGAAACAGGCCCTCGTCCACATCAAATAAATAAGGATTACTAATAAATTAAATTACAAAAACCAGCTTCGCCTCATTTCATTCGGCGGTCAGTCCAAAAGTGACCAACGTGTTGCCAGAGCAAAAGCTTGTCCATTCCCTAGAACGTAAAAAATGTTGCCAGGACAAGAAAAACTAAATCGACTAACTAACGCGGCGAACAACATCGATTATTACTCTCGTCCGCCCCTCGACCATCGGCACACGCAGAAACGACAAAAAATTCAACCTAACAAAACAAAAGCAAGACTAAGGTTCAAATTACTGTAATGGTGCGAAATGCACCGTTACAATAGTAATTAGACACTGTGTACTAGACTTCGTAATTTAAAAGAAACATATAATAACTTACAGACAATAAAACTATTATAATATTTTAACTCATCAGTTGTAGATCGGCACAGGCATTTCATAGATTTTATATAAGTTTAATTTTTATTAAATTTATTTGCTTACTACTTCTTGCTATTGTGTGTGTTGATCTATGACTTTAGGAGTCTACATAAAAGACTATTTCAAAGAATTTTATGAAATAAACAGAGTTTGAGTTCAGAACACTTCACTCTGTCTACAACAGCTATGTTCATACTGTAATTTTTTATCTGCCAGTGACCTCTATTTTCAGTAGCTATACAGCTGGACACTTTTTCAACTTTACCCATATGAGATGGTTCTCCTTGCCTCTACACATAGTCCATAGTAAGAACATTATTTATGAATAACAAACGGTATGTCATTTCACCGCTTCTCTTGTATCCGCGATTAAGTTTTTTTTTAATGTCTGAAAAACAACTTTTCATTTTTTTTCTGGCATATGGGGCAAATCAGCAGACAGGTCCCCTCAGGGTAAGTGACTACTAGCGCCCATGTACACCTGCAACTCAAGAGAGATGTGCCCAAAATCGAATGTGAAGTGCAATGGGAGAGGCCTATGTCCAGCAGTAGACTGGGATAGGCTGATGATGAAGCTACATATACTCACATCTTTTATGCAAGAAGTGGTAGACAGAAGTGTATGAAAACGCACATATTTGCAGAATATATATTTTTTTATATGAAAGAGGGGGGCACAATTTTTTAGTCCATAATAGGTGCCAAGCCTATTTCCCTTAACTCAGCACAATATTTCCAACTAAATATACCTATTTTTTTTTAAATAAAAACAAATGGAGATAAATTACACCCAGACACAGACCAAACATATCATGTTCATCACACAATATTTGTCTTGGGTGGGAATCAAACTCACAACCTATTACTTTGCAGTCAGGATTGTTAACAACTTCAAATGTAAATTGAATACTTATAAGGCTGCTAAACTGTATGCAATATCTATCAGATATTTAATTGAAGGTTAGAATAAATAAAATAACCTTTTAACGCCATATGTGTAACACATAAAATTACAATAATAACACTAAATAATTGATGCTATATTGTAAATAACCTTATCAAATTAAAATAAAGTGCACTTTTAATGCTCTATGGAACAATTGTTAGAAAGATTAGCATTTCATATCATGTAATACTAGCAGGCATAGATAAGAGGCTCAATACCAGATGCCCTTAATGACATCACGTCAACAATAAACATGCATTAATCATTCAGGACAAACAATGAATTAGAGTCATTTTCTTAAACATATGCTGTTATTATAGATGACTTTTAGGTTGTTTAATTTTAGAAAAATACGAAAAATATGTCTAATAACACGCGGTATGCCGTAAATATGCTTGTTGTAGTCTAAATGTAGTCAATAACGGAAAAATAGTTAAATATGTATGGGTCATTCACCTGACACATACGCTGGCTGTTTAATAACACTTATATACGTATTAAATACTCTTAACAACAACATGATGATTTATATAACATTTAAGCATCACTACAAATAATACATAAACGGTTTTTAACATGTAGTAACTTTACAAGAGTACCGCTAACTTTTAAAATTTGCTTACCGTTCTTTACGTTCACTCTAGTCCAGTTAATACACTACTATATAAAGCACATTAACGATTGTTCAACAGATTAATGGATTCTAAATAGTTTACTGTAATTGTTTCCTTGTTTACTCAATTACAAAGAAAAAGTATCACTTTCTATTTTCTCATCGAGTTCCCCACAACTTGCCAAATCATTCATTGGTAAACATCGTTCTGAAACAAATTATAATGTCATCATCTTTGGTCGTTACCGATGCTTTTGGTCATGAAAAAGAGTAATTTAGATATGTTTAGAATAAGTTACATAAAATTATTGATTCCCTTAAAATATGACTAGTAAAGTTTATATCTTAAAATAGATAAATAAAACGGTTTTTATATTGGTACATTCTGAACGAAATAACGTGCGTTCCATTACCTGTTAATTATATATTTCTAGCCTGTTGTTATGGAATACACTGCAAATATTATCGACACAATGTGTATATAATAATTATTTAGGCATTTAAGTCCGCCTGTGTACAACTTGTGCATTAAGTTAAATAAATAAATACCTAAAATGGTACAATTTAAGGGGACGTTAAATAGCTATTCTATAATTGCAGAACTACATTAAGTCAAAAACAAAACGAATGATGTGCTTTTAAAGCTGTCGATCATAATGTCGATAGGACTCAAATCTTTTAAATCGTCATTAACCGTCTGTGGCCGCAATCATAAGGAGATGCGCGGCATTCAATTCTAATTACTATGACACGTCGTCCCGGACACAACCGGACTCGTTTCGGACAAGTACGTCAATATTATTTGTGCCTTTTGTTTAATTTTAACGTGTAAAAATGATAGTAGAAAAACCAGTGTCTCTAATAAAGGAGTATCATACCACCGGTAAGCCGCTAATTTGTATTGTTTACAAAGCTAGATTCTAACTCTGAAATGTAATGTCCTTGAGTGTACAATGTCTGAAGGGTTGAATTTGAATGTAAATTTAATTTTTATTTTCGTAGCCCAGGGGCTCAAGTGGAAAGGACCGTTTTGTGTAAACTACTAAGGTCTCGAAAAAGCTGACGTGACGCTGTCTCGTACTCGCTACTTCAGCGGTGTCATTTGAACTTGTCAACCAAGGAGATATAAGCATAGAGTGAACCAGAGCCCCAATCATGCAATATAGGCAACGAGAGAGATGGATAATAGATCGTTCCCTCGATCTGGGGCTGGTCAAATTTCTAATCTCCCTCCTGTTCTACGATCAAACCCATGAACACTTCACGATAGCCAATCGCAGCTTAGCTAAACAGCGACAGAGGGAACTATCGGGTATTCGTCGAGTCACACCAACTTCAGAAAAAATAGCTACCTGTCTAGAGTTTTCACCGAGTTCAACAAACTAAATAGTGACAGTGGTTTTCATCTTTTGGAACGAAGTTCCTTATCGCGCGTTGTGAAAGGGGGCTAGACGGGAAAAAATCTCACGAGAAGTTGTAACGACACTTTTTTATGTCAGTCATTCAGCGCCATCTATCGAATAGATAGGAAATCATTACTTTTCATCTCAGTATTTATTTTGAATTGTCACGTGTCAGTCATTCAGCGCCATCTATCGAATAGATTGGAAATCATTTCTCAAGGACATTTTACCAATGTATAAATTGTTTTATAAATTAGAAACCAACTGAAAAATATGTAGGTAATAGCCGCTTTCATAGATGGCGTTGTAATTAAAATCGTGTCGAATCAGTTTTACTAGATGGTCACAACTTCGTTCCTATCGGGTGTCCCACGACACCACACGGCTTTTTTAGTACAAGTAGTGCTAGATCTTATTTAACCGTCAGATTTGCTGTATATATGTATAATTGGCATACAGTATACATTTGTGAAAGATGTAATTACTTGAGCTTCGGGTATTGCCGAAATTGTCGCTTCCGGCGCGCACTCTGTTCCGTTGCTGGTTGTCCACGTCTTTGCCAAAATACTATAATAACTTTAAATCTTAAAAAACTTTAATACAAAAAGAAATCCCTCTTATGAGCGCAGAAACCTCCAATGACCTAAGGAAGCAGAAGTTTCAATTTCCCTACTTTTGAGGAAAATTTGATTCCGATAGCAACATTGCTTGTTCCGTTACTGGTTGTCCACGTCTTTGCCAAAATACTATAATAACTTTAAATCTTAAAAAACTTTAATACAAAAAAGAAATCCCTCTTATGAGCGCAGAAACCTCCAATGACCTAAGGAAGCAGCAGTTTCAATTTCCCTACTTTTGAGGAAAATTTGATTCCGATAGCAACATTGCTTCAAGTACCTTAGTGTGCGTGTCACCGACACCGAGCGTAAATATGTGTGACTTACGCCTACATCAATTGTGTTTTTGCGTCAAACTCGTCTTTTTTTTAAATGAATAATCGTTTTAGGGTTCATTATTCTATGTTTAAAATTATGTATGTCGTACACTTGTTTCGATTGAATCGATTAAAATAAAACAACCTCCATAAATCGAATTTTCCTTTAATAATTTCATCATTAAGAACTACAGAACAGAACGACATAACAAACGTTTACGGTAGCGCGCGTAGCTTATCTTAAGCTTTATACAACTTTCGAATGTCTAAAAAAATACATTGCGGTGCAGTAAGCCTGTTTAAATTAGACTAAACTCTTTGTTCGTATAACAAATGTTTTAAACAAAACCACAGATTATATTACTTGTCTTTGAGTAACTGTCAGTGAGCGGTACAGTCAAGAACATATTTCAAGTGATTTGAAATAAGTTTGTTTACTAGAGTTACTAAGTCATTGTATTGGTGGAAATAATTGTTTATAAACACACAAAGACGTCAAAACCACCTTTTCACCGTCGGAGCAGGATGCTTCACTCCTTGAAGAAAGGTTCCGTCCAGTCCGCAACCCGTTTGGTATCTTCAAAATTCGCACACGATAAAGCTCTATTATCTCTAATAAATATAAATACCACCACTTACAAAAGTTTTTAGAATAATAAGTTATGTATGAAAAATGATTGCACTTAATTAATTATATACATAAAACAGAAAAACTTTTAAAAAATCTGTTATAATAAATCGGTACTTTTTTACGTCTAGCAACAAAAATAAAATTATACGGTCATAAATCGTACTTAATATCTGTAATTTCAGACAACTTATGATTATGATAATAACTTAAATAATTTACTTACTTACAATTAACTATGGAAGCGCCCTTTTTATCTATAGTTCGCTTAATTTATATTTAGATTACCACACCGCAAATTATTTTAAATTTACCTTATATGTAAAAACCCAATTAAGAAAACAAAATAAGGAAGAATACAGGGAGAAAATAGATTTCAAACTAGAACCATATCAGGTTAATGTACACATTCAAAAATAAGAGATGAATGGAGATCTTACTGTGATAACATTATTCCTAGAGGTATTTTCTTGTTAATAGTAGCCTTAAACCTATACCCATCGCGTGAATTTATTTGGCTGCCAGTGCATCCGAGGGTCCCAGACAGCCGGGATTCCTACCTTAGGTCGTTGCGCATTGTTATTATTTTTGCGGAAGCGTATGTCTATTCCATGACTTCCACTTCAACACACTGGATGAAGACCATGCATTCAGGCCACCTAATGATACAAACGTAAATCTTTTTTTTTTAATTCAACGTAAACCATTTAATAGATCTAGAAATAAAATTAGTTATAACATTTTTATTTTACAACAGTAAACAGCGATTTTACAGTTCATTCTTTACGTAAACGATATCTACCGTAGATATCGTTTGCGTAAAGAATTGGACACTGACGGATTTAATTTAACCGCTAAATGCGGCATTTACTAACATAGGGCACTAGTGTGAACTGCGGTTTTTTAGTTCTATTACTTACTGCACATTATTTTTATTATTTTACAACTTTAAACTGTCAGTATGTCTGTACGTACTTATATGTTGACGCAATAAAGGACTGTTCATACACTATTTAAAAAGAAAGTACAAAGGCACTTACATACTGCATAACAATTAATATCACGGAACAATAATTTCTTTTATTAAAAGTAAGTTTCTACCAAAAACAGTCACGCACACGAACTTCATATACTAACCTACTATTTTAATACAATTCTAGATGTAAACGGTTACATTAAATAACATATAATAAATGGTGAAAAAAAAAAACAAACAATAGATTAAATAAAACTAAATTTTATTTAACTTTAAACGAGATTTTACAGATTAACTAAAACAAATTATAACAAAAAAGAATAGTTACGCACCATAACAAAGGAAAAGTAATAACATTAAATAATGTTTAATTAAAGTTTAAGTACTTTACAATACTTTTTCATTTCGCTAAACATCAAAAAATATAAAATGATTACAAAGCACTGTGAGTAAAGTTACAACTTTATAAAGTAAACTATTTCATACCTATTTGACATAAAAATCTTGAGTTTTTTAAATGGATAACTGTTTTTTTAAATACCGTGTTCTGCTTCCGAGCTTTTTTTTATGAATTGCTAAGACTGTATCTTGTGTCTTCATGTTTTGCGTCTGTGTTTTATTTTGACAATTGTTATTTTGTAAATTGTAATAATCTTCAACAGATTTCCTCTGATTATTAGAGACTAAAACAAAAGTGAGATTTGCAAAGGGTAACATTACGACCTTCGGATTTGAACAAAAAAAATGTCAGCATGAAACATCTGTTATAGAACACAGTGTATATAACTGACTGTAGTTACAGTACCCAGCAATAAGTGATAGTCTCACGAAAAATGACAAACACGATAATAATAACGTGAAACATTGTACTTTAAAGTAAAATTTGTTAACTAGCAATTCTATAGATAAATTTCACTAGCCACGATTGTATAATTAAAATTGTTAGTTTATATTACTACTATAACTATACATATACTAATGTTTTATTAACAATTTCTGGAAATGGGCAATAGATGGCGAAATTTAATAGTATATCATTAGGTATGTGTATAGTAATTCTTCTTCTTAAAATGCTGAAGCTTTCGT